AAAAAACAGGAGAGGTCCTTTGCAGGTCTGGGAGAGGGAGGCTCTGAGCTGGGGTAGGCTTGATTGTAGTGTCTGGAGATGCCGGCGCATTGCTGCAAGTGTATGTTTCAGGAGTCGCAGGGAGAAACGCTTCTGAAGGATCTCAACACCATGAGTGTAGATATTATCACGGTTGGGGCCAAATGGGGAAGGCTTGAATGTGGATTGTAGTCCATTGGGGATGATCTGGTTCCGTAGGCAGGTGCTAAGGAAGGCTATAGGACTATGTTGTATTTTGGTTCTGTGTTACAACAACATCACGTCAATTCTCTGAGAATTCTACTGATATTTCCACAGAAGTTAATTGAAACAATCAGAACACCTCAATGTGTGTTTCTTTTAATATTGATGAGCTTTATAATAACAATGACTCACTGGAGCAGCCCTGTAATTTAATATCTTAATCAGGTTAGTGGAAGTCTAGTTTTTGTCAAATAAAACCACCAGTACACAGAGAATGGCAGTGCTGAACTGTGCTCTGTGTGAGATATAGAGATTGTATCTCTTTGTCTGACTCATCGATAAAAATCTGGCTGATTTTCATCGGAGTGAGCCAGTGACCTTGATGTCACTAGAAATAACAGCATTGTTTCTGGTGAACTGCGATTCTAAAACACATTCCACATTTTCTAGATCCACTCTGCAATCTCACTCAGGACGATGGATATTTTGAAATCATTAATACAACATGGCTGCAGGCAAACAATGAAACTTGTCCAAATGGATCAGAAATCTCCGTTCCTCACCAGGGTCCAAGTGAGCAGTACTGGGAGTGAGTACATTGCTGCAAGGAGCTGCACCTATAACCTGCACAGCAGGGCCAGTAACTCCTCTTGGGATGGTTAATTGGTGAATGTCCTGTTTAATGAGACAGAAGCTGTTTGATTTCGGTACAGCTATTATTTACATCATACTCCTGTTTATATTATAACATCACAACAGGGGACCTTCATTAGTTAACAACTCCCTGCTTTCTAACAGTGCAGGTCTATGTTAACAACATTTATACAGTGAAAAATTTATTGAGCAATTCTATTTACTAATCAAAGAAGGGATTCACCATGAGAATTGGTTCCAATTATCTCTGTTTTAATTAAATACAGTGTTGAACATAACCCATAGTTCTGGGAACTGAATTGAGAACAGGTACTGTGCTTAATATTGGTCAAAACTTCTGCACAGCAGCAATCATTGGATTGCTGCTTCACTTGAACTTATTAGCATCTGGACAATGCTCTGCATTTCTTGCCAGGTCTTCCGAGCCCAGCTTCTCCACAAACGTGGAGCATAGCCTCTCTCAAACAGCCACATCATGGTGCTGCAGCATTGTGGGTAAACTGACCATGCTCCCTTTTAATTGCATTAGCTGCTGTAAGGTGAATTTAAATTCCAATGTGAATGCTGATGTTTTGCTGTATGGGTGAGTACATGAATGAGTGAATATGTAGGCTGGATAAGTGGATAGATGTGTAGGGTTAGAGGTGGGTGACCCCACAGGATCCAAGTGCACACCTTGGCTCTATGTCTGGTATGTGAGGATCTGGGCTAATGTAAGAAAAACAATGAAGCATAGTTAGGAATGCCTTCAAATCCAATCAGCCCTCCATGGAATTTGATCTGCTCTCCCTGTTTAACTTTGTTATTCAAATCAGTAAAAATGGAGAGCAAAATCATAAAAGTATCAAATTTCATTCCAACCTTTTCCAAAATTCAATTTCCAAAAGTAGATCTGACTCTGATTAAGATAGACGTCATTTAATACTGTCTGCATTCTATCTAACAGTGCCTGTGTCATACCAAAGATGATTTTTGTCATTCTTTTCTTCAGTAAAGTGGCTTTACGTCGGACTAGTTCAATAGATGAGACGGGGTTGATGGTTTGGTATTTAGCCCTCTGCCTGTTTCTGGCCTGTCTGATAATTGGAACTGCGTTATCCAAAGGGATCAAATCTTCCGGAAAGGTAAAATGCCTAGTGAAGAAACTGGATAGAATCTTGTCATAAAGGACAGATTGCTGCAACTGTAAAACTAGAAAATCCCATCCATTGGTTAACTCATTGCACAGGTGATGTTAGAAATGACTGGGGAGTGTGGAAAGGATGCTCGCAGTCTGTGTGATTGGGGAATGGGATCTTCGCTGGCCTGGGCCATTGTGTCCAATGCAGGTATTTGCCTCCACCCCCAGTACTGTTACTTAACACTGCCTGTCTCTACTTGTTCTCCCTCTGCTTTCCCAATGACAGTGGTGACTAGCCATAGCCATACACCCATTAACTCCTTCCTGTTATCTAGATGACAAATCCTCCAGACACTCCAATTCTAGAAATGGCCATTGTTCCCATTTGATTGACCTGCAGATCTGAAAGGCTGGACTTAGGAAGTCTCACCCTGATCCAGTTCCTGGCCTGCTGGCAGTAAACCCAACTTGGCCTTCCCTGCAGCGCAGAGGCTGCTACACGCCCCTGACTGTCAGACAAGAGGGTGAGACCAAAAAAACTGCAGATGCAGGAATTGAATGTAGACAAACAGGAGGCTGGAAAAACACAGCAAGCCAGGCAGCATCTGGAGGAAAGAAGTGGTCAACGTTTTGGATATTGCCCTCCTTCAGGAGTGGCAAAAGAGACAGATTGGTTGCCTTTTACATGCAAAACTCTGGATTGAAGTCTCCTGTGCAGTGCCTCCGCGTCATTTCTTGTTATCTAATGCTTGTGTGAAAAAGCATTTTGCCTCTTTAGTTATTAAAGATGCCAAATAAAGACACACATCTTATTGCTGTGAAATGGGAGATTCATAATTCTGGCTGAGGGAGATCTGAAGAAGATTTGAAGATCTTTCTCTTGTGGGGGGGGATGTGGTGTGGTGGAGGGATCAGCAGCAAATTTGCAAAATCCCTATAAATATGTCCTTAGTTTGAAGGGTTTCAGTGACTGATGCAGGGTCTCTGGGGTCATTCCCTATAACTCTGGAAGTCTGGACAGTACTGGGTGAAGTGAGTGAGAAGATGAAGGTTAGATTATGGGCTTTTTTTGTCTGAAATCAGATTTGTCTGGGAAATGGGAATGAGAAAGAAAGCTGAGGTGTACATGTGAGGATTTAAACGCACTCATCACTCTATTCCATTTTAATGTTTAAACTTTGCTGAATAGGAGACAGAAATAATTCAGAGGTGCTGTTCAAATGCAGCCCAATGTTAAATATAGACTTTGCACAGTTATTATTCTGCCAATTGTCTTTTGGATCATTCCCTGCATTATTATTTTGCCATCCAATGCTGTCAATATTATACCAGAAATAAAGGGAAATTTAACCTATTACTCTCCACATTCAGGTGGTTTATTTCACTGCCACATTCCCTTATGTAGTTCTGACTGCACTCCTGATCCGTGGGGTTACCCTGGAGGGAGCCCATAAAGGAATTGAATTCTACATTGGAAGCCAGTCAGATTTCTCTAGACTGGCTGACGCTGAGGTAAATACAACAGAATAATCCATTGAATTTATCTGTAAATTTCTGACAAGGAGATTCGGTTTCCTAATTATTTATCTCCACGGTGTTTGAGGCAATCAATCCATTAAAGGCCTGAGTATTGCTTTAGATCTGTTGTTTACTTATTGGTCAGTTTTAACTCAATCATTTTTGGTCCAGGGAACTGAGAGAAAGTTACACTTCACTCCTTGGGATAAGACGGAGTTGTTTATTCATTGTGTTTGGCTTCTAGGCTGCAGCAGATGGAAAGGATTAAAATGAAATAAGATACAATGGAATAGAACTGAATCAGCAGCTTGATGGTGGAAGGTGGGATTGGGCAAGATGGGAATAGAAATGATACCACATGTTCATGATGTGCACTGCCAGCATTGCTTTTGCTTTTTCATAGCTGAGCGTTGCTGAAAAGATAAGATATGTTGTTGAAGCTTTTCTTCTTACACATAATCAGGACAGAATTGCAAGAATACCAAATCTCAAAGGGAACAACAATTTACACCACATGTGTAGAAGATGCAGATTGGCTGGCAAGTTGACTCTTATTCTGAAAGATGTTGCCATGGAGAATGAATGCAAAAGTTATCTGCCAATCTTTTATTTAAATTCAAACCAATCAAATCAACTCTGCATGGTCAAAGTGTTGCCATGGGGAATGCACCATCACTGAAGCTTTTATTTCGTCACCATGGAAGAAATGCACAAAGATTTTTGACTTCCTAACAACATACACTAGCGCATTTCCCCATTGTGTTGTTTTCATCAATCATAGTTGTTTGGTTCAAACTTGAATAGAATCTTGATAGATAATTATTCACTGTTACTTTCTTTGTGGTGTTGCTTCCACCGAACTTGTCAACAAATCGGCATCCTCTTCTTCTGCAATATAACTTGATGTTCTCTTTTGAGATTTGACATTCTTGCAATTTTATAATGAGTTACATGAAAAGCTTTAACAATGTGTCTTTTTTATCTTAAATATTCATCTTTTGTATGACCAAAAGACTGCATTTATAGTCATAGTCCAAGTCATATAGCATGGAAACCGATTCATCGGTCCAACTCATCTATGCCGGCCAAACTTCTCAAACTAAACCAGCCCCACTTACTTGCATTTGACCTATATTCCTCTAAACCTTCCCTATTCATGTATCTGTATCTGTCCAAATGTCTTTTAAAATATTGTAACTGTATCTACATCTACCATTTCCTCTGAATCATTCCACATACAAACTACCCTCTGTAAAAGGAAAAAAAGCTGCCCCCCTGCTCCAGTCCCTGTTAAATCTTCCTCCTCTTTGAACTCCCCCACCATAAGGAAAACACCATTGCTATTTACCTTATCTATGCCCTTCACGATGTTATAAACTTCTTTAAGGTTACCCATCGTTGGGGAGGTAATGGGCTAGTGGTATTGCCTCTGGACTGTTAATCCAGAGACCTGGATAACGTTCTGGGGACCTGGGTTCGAATCCCGCCATGGCAGATGGCGGAATTTGAATTCAATAAAATATCAGGAATTGAGGATCTAATGATAGCCATGAATGCATTGCTGATTGTCGGGGGGGAGAAAACCCACCTGGTGCACTAATGTCCTTTAAGAAAGGAAACTGCCATTCTTACCTGGTCTGGCCTACGTGTGACTCCAGACCCACTGGGAAATTGGAGATGGGTAATAAATGCTGCCTAGCCAGGGTCGTCCTCATCCTGTTAATGAATAGAAAAAAAATCAACCTCATACGTTCCAGTGAAAACAGTCCCAACCATCTATATATCTCAAATCCTTCGGTTCTGGCAACATCTTGGTAAATCTTTTCTGAACTGTCCAACTTAGCAGGACAACCAGAACTGTATACAATACACCAAAAATGGCCTCCTCCCAACTCCTATACGCGTCGGTCTGAGCAATGAAGGCAAGCATGCTACATGCCTTTTAACAACCCTTTCTACTTGTGAAACATATTTCACAGAATTATGTACCTGATCCCCAAAGTCTCTTTTTGACAACACTACCCGGGGCACTACCATTAACTGTATAAGCCCTGCCCTTGTTTGTTATGCCAAAATGCAATCCCTCACATTTATCCAAATTAAACTCCATCTGTCACTCCTCATTGGCCCAAGATCCCTTTATAAATTTAGCTTACCTCCCTCAGTGTCCACTATATCACCAATTTTGATGTATTCCACAAAATCACTGCCCATGCCATTTAATTCTTGTTTCTAAGTGGCTGCCTGGAACAAGTCAAACAATGTAAATTTCAGTTTTAAAAAATATGTACCAACCCTAGTCTGAGTGTCATTTAATTTCAACTCAGTGATATATAAGAAATTGTGCAAAAGCTGGGCAAGGTGTTTGTTCAAATCTTTCATTGCCACTAATTCTCACTTCTTTTTAGCAGGTCTGGAAAGATGCTGCAGGACAGATTTTTTATTCTACATCAATCAGTTGGAGGGGCTTAATAACACTATCATCCTACAACAAGTTCCACAACAACTGCTATAGAGATACCATCGTTGTCTGCATTGTTAATTCTGCTACAAGCATATTTTCCGGCTTTGCCATCTTCTCCATCCTTGGACACATGGCTCATCTACAAGATATACCTGTTTCAGAGGTTTCGCAGTCAGGTACTTGCAAGGATAAATTTACTGTATTCTTGTATCTTGCTGAGAAAAAGACACATTTTGTTGAAGCTGTAATCCCTGCCTCCCTAACCTGTCCTTCCTCTCACCTATCCACTCCTCCCACCTCAAGCCCCACCCCCATCTCCTACCTACCAGCCTCATCCTGCCTCCTTGACCTGTCCGTCCTTCCTGGACTGACCTATCCCCTCCCTACCTCCCCACTTACACTCGCCTTTACTGGCTCCACCCCCGCCTCTTTGACCTGTCTGTCCCCTCTCCACCTATCTTCTCCTTTATCCATCTTCTATCTGCCTCCCCCCTCTCTCCCTATTTATTTCAGAATCCCCTTCCCCTCCCCCATTTCTGGCTCCTCTGCTGCTTGGCCTGCTGTGTTCATCCAGCTCTACACCTTGTTATCACAGATTCTCCAGCATTGGCGGTTCCCACTATCTCTCATTCTTCTACCCTGTAGGTTTCGGATTGGCTTTCATTGTCTACCCAGAGGCTCTTGCCCAGTTGCCATGGGCACCTTTATGGTCCATATTATTTTTCTTCATGCTTGTCACTCTGGGAGTTGATACTCTGTTTACAAGTTTAGGTAAGTGAGATATTACTTTATTGAACTCTTGTTTACTTTTTTGTTTATAAAAGGAAGTTATTTGAATGGAGAAACAGGATTGTGCCTGATTTGAGCACCATCCCAGTGCTGCCTGTCATGTACATGTCTAAAAGGGTCAATTCCAGCACCATGGGAAATTGGTCTCCAAGTCAGTTTATTTATTACCAGTTTAGTATTGGCTGCACCTGTTATAGATACCAAGGGAGCTTGCTAATCCTGGGAGAATGGAAAACAGACGAGAGCAGAATGTGCAATCCTGCATCTACAGTTTCCCCCTTAAGGTTCATTAAAAAAAATTCAAACTTATTTTTGTGAAACAGCCACTGGCTGCCCCTGTAACAAACACTAATTGATTTCTAAGTGTCCACAAATATTGCTGCAGTCTGTTTGAAGCCATCAAACAGCATCACATTGCCGTTTGAGGCCTCATTTACACAATCAGCTAGTAAGAACTGCCAGTGCTGGAGTCTGAGATAACAGTGTGGAGCTGGAGGAACACAGCAGGCCAGGCAGCATCAGAGGAGCAGGAAAGCTGACGTTTTGGGTCGGGAACCTTCTTCAATGGATCTGTGGTTTCCTCATCAAAGAGGTTAACGGCAGTTTCAGTTGAGGTCCTGAACACTTGACTAGGACTGTTGGCCAAGATGAGTACAAAATACAATCGGTCACGTTGATCCATAGCCTGTATATTCACTTACTCGATGTTCAACAAGCGTGGCAGCAACAATTTTCCACACTGTAATGTCTCTGATTTATTACAAGGTTGAAGAATAACTGTTTATGATGTTTGCGATTAATGTTTCTTTCCTAGAATTTTCTACCCATTGTTATTGAGTAATCAACCTTAAATAGTTTAACCAGTAACGTGTTACTCTACAATCTGGAAGATTTTGTATTGTTTGTGTCTCAATCGGAGCAGTCTCTGTTGGGAGTCTAGGGGTTGAATTCTGACTTTTTTTTTCTTTTCCTATATATTGTCACTGCATCTTACCTATAAATATCACTGGTATCAAATCTCCCATTCAACTTTTCAGAATTGCTGATGACTTCTGAGGCATCTCCATACTCAGCGATTCCAATCCAAACAGTGGAACTTTCAGATTCTGATTGGCTACTTCTGCCATACAATCAGCTCATTCCATTTCAGTGGTGCCAGTGCACGCTGGTTTAGCAACTGTCATCTAATCTAATCCCATTGAGAATCTCACTCCATGGGTGTAAATTTCCTGGTCCCACTGAGGAAGATTTGGAGTGGGTCTGGGTATGAAATGGGGAAGTCACTTTTCCGAGGGTCTTTGACTGATCCTGCCTCCCGACTCTCCAAGAGATCTTGCCAGAGGCATAGTCAACCTGCCTTACTGACAGTGGTGGGTGACTTATTAACAAAAATTACATTCTACAGGAGCTGCTGCTGGGGATAACCTAATTGTCTATTGCACATGTCCTTTTAAACTTTGTCTTTTCCAACTATTGAACAAATTTCCTTTTTCACTGATCCTCAATCACTTTCTCAACAACCACTTACAGCAAAAGAAACTCTAATTTCACTGACCTTCAGTCTTTCATTGAAAATTCTCTGTTAATGTTTCCATGTTAACAACCACTGCTGCAATCTTTCACAATTTATCTGTTACTATTTTGAAATTTGCCTTTAGATCTCCATGTTGTTCCTATTCTTGTGAGCAAGGTTCCAAATTTTCTAGCCTTTCTTCATAACCTTAGGCCTTGAACTTCAGGATCTGATGGATCTTCTCTGTACCATATTTCATTGGCTCCACTATCTTACTGAGTGTGGGATTACTGCAACACATTTTTCAGTTGTGGCCTAACCAATGCCCTTAAACAATTCAACATCACTTCTTACTTGTATTCCAAACTCCAGTGTAAACGCCCAGAATAATTCTTATGGCCATTTTAACCAGTACTACCACCTTTGTTCTCTGTGTCTATTCCCCTGGCTTTCTTGATTCCTTGACTCTGTTAAAAATCCAAGTGAGATCACTGCGCACTGCATAAGGCTATTGATAACGTATGCAGAGTTCTGGCAGTCAGTTCCGTAGCCCTTCATTGGAAGATTGATTAAGATGTGATTCACGAGGTATAGGCATGTATGCAATGAGCAAGATCCACACCAGAGAGAGCATTGGTTGCTGCTCCAGCACAGATGTCGAGTGAATGGCTGGGAACATGTATCCTCCTTAAATACCATAATCAATCCGAATTTCATTGTGATTTTGCTCTGCAATTGGAATGAGATTCAATAACTCAAATGGCCATCTCACTACTTGGGATAGCAAGTAAAATACATCCGAAGTTCAGCCTCTTTTCCTCAGTAGAGATGCTATTTGTTAGATGCCAGCCCTCATGTCAAGTCTGATAGCACATCCTCCATTCCCTCTGCACAGTGACCTCTCCATGAACAGATCTACAATGGCTGTAATTGTATAGAGAGAAAGTAGTCTCCCAGTCATTACTGAGAGATCATTACTTGTAATGTTGTCTCTCTTGGAAACTTACAGCTAGACACAGTGCTTCTATTCACTTCTTCAACCTCATGATGGGCATCAGCGGAGGTTTGTCTTCTTTCTTCTATGGTACAACAACACCAACCCCTCAGGAAAGCTAACAACAAAAGGGTTTTCAAGGCAAGAGCATGAGGAGATACTGCAATTATTGAGCTGTTCCAGCAGGGACAGTTCGTAAAATTACTCCTCATGCTTAAGCGAAAGAAAGCTTGTGCTGATATTCTGATTTGTAAGTATGTAAGGAGTTAACAACCCAACCACATCGCTGCAATGTTCCAGAGCTCCGTGACTGTGAGAATTATTAATTAATTACGATTACATTTAACATTCTATTTAATCAGAATCAGTCATAACAACCCTGCTGGACCAGTTCCCTAAATTTCTACGACCAAAGCGCCTTTATCTGATAACTGTCGTTTCGTTGCTGTTTTATTGCTTTAGTCTTGAATGCGTAACACAGGTATATTATCCTTTTAATAGTTTACTGTGTTTCCATATGTAGTTCTGGTCATAACTCTGCAAAAGCAGAAATTGCATAAGATTCAATAGAAAGTAGAACTTTAGATATAGTGTTTTTTTTTTCCTTCAAATTTGCATGATACTGTGTGGGGCTAACTGACACTTCCTCGTCTTCTAATTATCAGCCTTAGTTCGAATGAGGTCAGAAATCACACGACACCAGGTTTATTTGAAAATACAAGCTAGCCCCTTCCTCAGGGTGACACTCTGAAAGCTTGTGTTTTCAAATAAACCTTCATAAAACTTCATGGAACTTCATAGAATCCCTACAGTGTGGAAACAGGCCCTTTGTCCCAACAGGTCCACACTGACCCTCAGAGCATCCCCCTGTTACCCCCCCTAATCTACACATCCATGAACACTATGGACAATTTAGCATGGCCAATCCACCTAAACTGCACATCTTTGGACTGTGGGAGGAAACCGCAGCGTTTGGAGGAAACCCGCGCAGACATGGGGAGAATGTGCAAACTCCACACAGACAGTGGCTTGAGGGTGGAGTCGAACCTGGGTCGCTGGCGCTGTGAGGCAGCAGTGCTAACCACTGTGTTGGACTATAACCTGGTGTCATGTGATTTCTGATCTTGTCCACCCCAGTCTGACACCGGCACCTCCACCTCCACATCTTAGTTAGAATGGGCCTCAGCTTGTTAATGGGCTGTCGATCAGATTTACACACGCTAAATCTTCAGTATATTGTTTTGAAATCTTCTCTTTTCGGTGTGAGAATGGGATGGAAACGTGATAAAATTGTCAGTGTTAGCTTAACTCAGTCGGTAATGCTCACCCCTCTGATCAGAAACGTATGGCTAGTGAGCCCTAACCTGCATTTGAGGTATGCCATGAAATTTTTCAACACATAGACAGTGATGTTTGTGTGTAGAATTTGTCCATAAGAAGTATGAACCAGAGTAAACAGTTCGCCCCCTCGAGTCATTATCTGTCATTCACTAGGATAATGGCTGATCCAACATTCCTCATATCTACCTTCCAGATCTTTCCCTGTAACCCTTGTTTTACCCTCTGATCAATAATCTATCCATTTCAGCCTTAAATATATACGATGATGGTGCCCCCGCAGCATTCTGTGGCAAGAAGTTACAAAGACTACGACTGCCTGAGAGAAGAAATTCCTTGTTATCTCTGTTTTAAACTGGTCTCTCTCTATTGCTTAGTAATATTGTCGCTAGACCATTAATCCAGAAACTCAGCTCACGTTGTGGGGACCAGGATTTGAATCCAACCATGTCAGATAGTGAATTTGAGTTCAATTAAAAACAAATCTGGAATTAAGAATTTACTGAGGACCATAAAACTGTTGCCAGTTGTTGGAAAACCCATGTGGCGCATTAATGTCCTTCAGGGAAGGAAATCTGCCATCCTCACCTGGTCTGGCCTACATATGACTCCAGACCCACAGTGATGTGGTTGACTCTTAACTGCCCTCTGGGTAGTTAGGGATGGGCAATAAATGCTGGTGTGAATAAAAAAGAATGAGATCATGTCTCCTGGTGCTAGTCTTGGCTTATTTTGATTGGAGGGGCTATAATCTGCTATGCAGTACTTTACCTTCCAGGCAGGAATTTACTGGATCAAGTTAATTGATCATTTCACTGCTGGATGGGGCATTCTCACAGCTGCTCTGCTGGAAGTTATTGGTCTGAGCTGAATCTATGGTAAGTGAAAATGCTGAAATAATTATGCAACGTAACAAATACTTACGTGGGACTTCAGCAGTGTTAAGACAAATGAATTGAGTGACTTCAGACTATCTCAATATGGCAGATGTTTAATTTGAATTGAGAAAAAAATCTGCGATTTAAAAAACCAATGGTGATCACAATCGACTGTCATTTTTTTGTAAAAAATGATGACGAGATTGAGCTGAGGGGCGACACAGTGGCTCAGTGGTTAGCACTGCTGCCTCACGGAGCT